GACCATTGATATCGATGAAATTGTTTATAAGAAATTTGTTGAAGCTCGCGAACACGCTTTGCCTTTACACGACATCGATCTACAACGGTGGGCGCTAAAAGCAGCGAAAGAAGTGCATTTGGAAGATTTTCATGCTTCTCACCATTGGTTGATCAATTTCAAAGCAAAACATCACGTTGTATCACGCCGAATAACAAATGTTGTCACTCATCACGAAGTAGAAAATCCTGACGTAATCGTTAAAACAGAAAATGACTTTCGTGAAACGTTCTTCAAAGCTTGATCACACCATACTCCTTCACAGATCTTCAACACAGATCAAATTGGCGTCGAGAAAGAGTTATATTCTAAGCGCACTTTGACGATCAAAGAATGCAATGACGCACAGTTACACACTGCAACCTACAATTTCCCTCAAAGGCAAGTTAATTGGACCTGTATACCTCTGTCTCCAGGAGCCCAAAGGTAAAATGGGCGAAATGGTCAAAAGAGGCCTCTTTGAACCAAAGAATGTCGTTATAACATGCTCGAGCAGTGGCAAATTGACTTCTTCTCTTGTGCGCTATTGGCGTGATCATTGTTTACTACCATTTGTTGGCAATAAATCTCTTCTGCTATCTGATAGCTGGCCCGGTCAAGGCGACGAAGATTTATATACGAAAGAGGGTTGTGGTGGCAAATTAGTTCAGCGCCTCGCCATTCCACCTAAAACAACATCGGATCTTCAGCCCCTCGACTGCTACACAAACCGTCAAATAAAGAATTTTATCAAAAAATGCCATCAGCGAGTAGCTTTGGACGAATTGGATGTCGACCTTTATCAGAGAAATAATATAGTCAAGCTCGTTTCACTCATGCACAATCAGTTAAGTGCGCCGGTCTTTCATCGTATGCATCAATATTCGTGGTTCATGGCTGGCCTTCTCAAAACGGATCCTTCACCGTTTACCAATCTACTCGAAGTTTGTTTTCCATCTCTTACGACACACGAAGTGTGTCAACACAAGGATTGTGAGGAAAGTATATTTATCACTTGTTCTATCTGCTCCAAAAAATTTTGTTTCCATCACTTTTTCGTTTCTTATCATTTTCATTCCTAACCCCTACACAAACGAAATAATTTTCTTCCATTCATAGTTTCAGTTTTAAACTTCCTTTTCTCGAACATAAAAAATCGCACAAAAATATAAAAAAAAATCAAAAAATTTAAAAAACCCAAAAAAAACTTAAAATTAAAAAAATACACCAAAAAAAAAGTCAAAATTATTCAAAACAATAAAAAAAAATGCATGCGTTCTGTGTAGTGTGTACACAAGATGAAATTAAAAGCAAATATCATGTTTGATTAACTATGTTGAATATAAGCCATTTTTAACCAATTTCTTCTTCTGTAAAGTTGAAATACCGAATTTTTACGAAAAACACCTTAGACTAAAAAGTTCAGTTGAGACAGATGTTCTTATGTTTTCAAAAAATAGTAAGAATGTTGCAATTGTTATTATTATTTATCTGTATAATTTATTCTATCGTAAAGAGGAGGATATTGAGTATGATAAAAGAAAATATCAGAATATGCAAAATAATAATAAAATTTTCATTCTTTCCATCAGTCAAGGATGTATCTAGGTGATCAAATAGGATTTATGTTGATGAGATTAAACTTTAATAATAAGTACAATAAAATCTTAAAATGAATCAAATTATTTTACGCTCAATTATATCTTAAAATGCTGTGGCAGTTTTCAATCTATGTATTATTATCCGGGTTATTCCTCTATGTTCAATCAACATTCGATGATAGTACAACGACATTTTCCACATTAAGGTTTGTTGATCAGCAATTTTTGTGAATAATCTATATAAAATTGCTAGAAGAGATTTGTGAAAAAAAAACTGATTAGTTGTTACCTACTTTTCTTTTAGCTTACCGTCAAATGATGCTTCAATCGATTATCGAATTCTGCCCTATGTAGGCAATGGCCACATTGCAACTGTTGTGCTTAGTAATTCAGTGTACATGAACGGAATCTATAATGGAGAAAATGGTATGATGTAATAGTTCCTATTTGAAACGCTTTACACTTTGCTATTGACATAGGTACAAGTCATCGTGCTCGTATCCCGTCAACGCACAACTGGTATATACGCTCACCCTCAAGATCCAATTTTACAAAATCATTGTACACACTTAATGTATCTGCAGGTATAAAATATTACTTTAAAAGTTTAGCGAGAGAACAAGTGTTGATAATTTTAGGCGTACAAATGTTGGTGATGCCAGATGCTTTAGAACTTCTTGAATAAAAAGGAGGATTATAAATGAAAATGAGGAAAAACAGAAGATTCAGAGAAAATTGATTTCGACGTAACAGTCCTCTTACCTTATTCGGAAGAAAAAGTGACGTAGAACCCATTAGTCGCTTATGTTTTTTGGAGGAAGAGAGAGATTAAGAAAGAAACTAAAGTGTAAAATAATGCTACATAGACTAATCCATACAATGGAACATTGAAAGTATAAATTTTAAAGTATCAGTTTATTTTTTGGACTAGAACATGAGTTTTTAAGATGTTTTGTGTTGTTTTCCGAGCTTTGAGTATTTTAAAATTGAAATTATTCAATTGCAGAATGCCATTCTGTGGCATATGTTATTAAGTGTATATCGTCTCGAAAACTCAGGAAACGTAAAATGTAAAAACCTAGAAATTAGATGCAAAAAAGCCAATGAAGACTTTTAATCCTCTGAGTAGGTAAAGAGAAAAGATTTGGAAAACTTGACCTGGACGCGAAGGACAATTGGGCTTAAGGTCGAATACAAAACAAAACAAAAACAGCTTGTTTTCAATCATACATTCACGGATTTTGAATTCAAGTCGAGTTCATGAAGTCAGTTAGCATTAGATTTCAGTAATGTGTTAGATATTATCAAACAACCTCCGGTCTAGGTGCACTGTTTTTATTATTTAAAGACAAAAATCATCGAAAGTTCTGAACGGTGTTCTTTTTATCAGAAAAAATTAATCGTTCAATCCATACTAGATTTAGCAGGAAATCATGCATCAATAATCACGGCGGAGTACGAATTCATCCTTCAGCGCACCGTCAAAACAGAGTTGCATTTTCGAAAAACAAAATGCATTTTAGACACGTTAAACATGGCTTCATTTTTTATCAGTAAGATGAAATTTCCATGTACACATACGGTAAAATGCTGACCTTCGATTCGTTCTCATGTTTGTAGATGATCTTTCTGTTTTACTTTCTTTTTTTCCCTAAAAATTTCGAGAGATGTCTGGAAAAACTTCAGGGTACCCCTCCCCTCTTTTTGAGCTTTCCGTAGAAATGCTGTGAAATAAAAACTAAAAGTCGCTAGGGCTTCGCATTTTCAGAACTGATCGGAAACTCAATGGAGCACTTTTTCGTTCTTGTCTCAAGTTTTCAAGTATTACCGTTCACCAGTTTTTCAGAAAACTCGGTTTTTCATTGTGTCACATTACGACCCCCCTTAAATTTCATCGGATCGCGTTCAAAATTTTACCAGAGGTACTCAAGGTCATTCCGCAGAGCTAATTTTTCGGAAATTTTTTTCAGACCTTCCCTGGTCGAGTTATAGGAAAAATACTGAAAAATGTCTCAAAAACCAAGTTTTTCAATTTTAGAAACCCTATAACTCGGTAAAGAAATGTCTAAAATAAAATTCCAAAAAAACAGATCTGCAATAGTGTCTTGAGTACCTCTGGTAAAATTTTGAACTCGATCGGATGAAATTTAAGGGGAGTCGTAATGTGGCACAATGAAGCCTGATAGCAAAAAAATAGTTTTCGAGAAAAAACGCATTTTGTACATAGGTCACTTTTTTAGAGCATTTGCCGCGATGCTTATATCTCCGCGAAAACTCATCAGAAAATTCTGTAAAACGTCTCATTGTGAAGAAAACACTTTGTTCTATCAGACTATGTGTAAGAAAAATTTTGCATATACCGAAAATGAGAGAAAAGTTTATGAAACTAAAAAACTGACTTTTTTTAGGTTTTGAAGGAAAAACTTCAAAAATCCATAACTTTTTGAAAAAAGGTCGTGGAGTACTGGGGGTGGTCTTATTTTGTAGCCCACACTTTCCTCTACATGAGGCTATGCTCAGCTCAAAATCCGAAATTTTTAACAAAAAGAGGGGAAGGGTACCCTTAAGCTACCCAAAAGGAAATAATACTAGTTTAAGTTAGGTAAATGTTCCTTTTTAGCTAGCTTATGCTAGATCCAAAACAATTTTTTGCTTGGAAACTTTTACTCTCAAACGCATATACCAAGAAAATCATGCCTAATCGTTCTCTCGCTTTCTAAAAAGCTTTAGTTCTTTTTCTCAACTTGATTCCATCATGTTTTACTCGGACTTTTCTTCAAGAACATGGTGCAATCAATTTTTACTCCATAATCTTCTTTCTCAAATTTACTAAGTTCTCCACTGTGATTCTCAATTCTGATTCGACCTGACCTCAAAATAAAGGTGAGAGGCTAATGTCTTTTGGTTTATTCACTTGTGAGTTTTACCGATAAGATTACGTTTGCCATATGTGAAGCATCGAGCATTCACGCTTGGACTTTCAGAGGGTCACCTCTGACACTACTGGAGCAAGTACTGATCTACTTCACCGCGTAGAGGTGGCATGATGCGAAGCAGTATTTTTTTAATCAGCAGGACAGGCTTCTTTTAAATCAATTAAACTTTCAACTGTGTATGAATTCTGTAACTTACCAAATTTACAAGCT